GAAGAACCTTTTGCTGAGATGCACCCTGAGCCTGCCCTGACACAGCTCCAGCCATTCCCTGGGGGCTGTCCCTGCTCCCCCCAGAGCAGAGCTCAGTCCTGCCCCTCCTCTGCCCCTGCCCAGGCAGTTGGAACTGCAGGGAGGTCTCCCCTCAGTCTCCTCTGCTCCAGCTGAACACACCAAGTGCCCTCAGTGTCCTCACACGCCTTCAAATCCAGGCCCATCCCCATCCTCGTTCCCTCCTTTGGACACTCTCCAATGGCTCAATCTCCCCTTCCATTGTGTCCCCCCAAACTGCCCCAACACTGAGGTGAGGCCCCAGGGCAGAGCAGAGCGGGACAATCCCCTCCCTGCTGCCCCCAGCACAGGGATGTCCCTCCTGGCTGCCAGGGCACTGCTGACTCAGGGACAACTGGCACCCATCAGCACCCCCAGGGCCCTTCCCCAGCGCTGTTTTCCAGCATCTCATTCCCCATCTGTCTGTTCATCTCAGGTGTAGAATCGGGCACTTCCCCCTTTTCACAGCTCTCTGATCTGTTGAGGTCTCTCTGCAGGGCCTCCCTGCCTTTAAGGGACTCAACAGCTCCTCCCACTTTTGGGTCATCTGCAAATGTGCTGAGTACCCCTTCCAGTTCTGTGTCCTTGATGAAGATGTTGTAGAGCACAGGGCCCAAAATGGAGCTCTGTGGATCCCCACTAGTGACAGGTCACCTGTCTAATGTCACCCCAGTCCCTGTCACTCTCTGTGCCCAACCCATGAGCCAGCTGCTCCTCAACCACATGATGTGTTTATCCAGCTGTGGGCTGGACAGTTTGTCCAGAAGGAATGGATGTATCAGAGCAAACTCTCATCCTACTTGAGCATCTTACCAGGTGTTTTAGTCTCATTTGGAATGATGCAGCGCACAAAATGGGGGTGAGTGCTCCGCAGATTGGTCATCAGCTTGTTTAAGTTCTCCTAGAGGAACCAGGTAGCAATGTGAGTTTCCCATGTCCAGTGTTTGATGCATCAAGCCCAGGTAATGACTTCGCAATGCCTCAAGCTGGGTTTCAGAACACTTAGATAAAGCCAGAGAAGCCAAATATTTCTTCTATTTGGAGATACTGAACACCATTTTTAAAGACTGAAATACTTCTGTGTTGCTATTGGTCCAATGAAAATAAATACCAATTTTGTTATTACTCAGTCACAAAGAGTAATTGACTTCTAGATTAATGACATTCTGCCTTCAAAAGTCAGGTTCCTAAAGTTTTTAAACTTCCAATAAGATAAATATCTGCTTGGAAATTACTTTCAAATGCGGCAATATTATGGGTATGGTCGGATCCAAAGACATAAAAATACAAAGATCTCAATGACAGCAGCTCAAAAAAAAAAAAACAAAAACAAAAACAAAACCAAAAACAAACAAACAAACAAAAACCCAAACAACCACAAACAAACAAAAAGAAACAACACCGAACCAAACAAACAAAAAAACAACCAAATTATTAGATTTTCATGATTTTGAATGCTTATTTTTGGATATGACAAATTAGCAATATTAAAATTGATCCTGGAAAATCTGATGTGGAATTTCCAAAGACATTTAGCACCATTATAGTAATGTAAAATAGTCCTTTCAAATTTAATATTAGCTCTCCCCCTTCCTTCCCATTTCAGAGGTAGCAGGTGCTGTACCCGGAAAAGAGCTGAGACAGTCTGGAAAGAAGAACCCTTCTTCTTGCCTCCTTTCTTGCCACCACCAGCCTCTGCAAATTAAAGGGAAAAAAATTAAACTGAACACAAAACAATTTTAAATGTTTAGTGTTTATGGCTTCAATTCTGTTTTAACATTGTCCCACACTAAAAATACATTTTTCACTGAACTGACCTGCATCTGCTCCACCATAGTTGGCAAAGAGTAAGGCCAGGGTCTTCACAGATGATTTCTGGTACAGCCCAATGACAGTTTCATTCAGAGGGTCCTTGTTCTTCTCCAGCCACCCAGAGATGTTGTAGTCCACTGTGCCAGCGTAGTGCACCAGGGAGAAGTGAGCCTCAGCCTTGCCTTTGCCAGGCTTGGGCTTCTGGAAGTTGCTGGACTTGCCCAGGTGCTGGTCATAGAGCTTGTTCTTGAAAGAGGTGTCAGTTGCCTTGGGGAACATGCACTCCTCTTCCAGGATGGAGAAGATGCCCATGGGCTGGGAGAGATTGGAATAGGTAAGAAGGAAAAGCAGATTAGAAAAGAGACATCTTTTGGTTGAAAAGTTGCTAGAGTCAGAAAAGAAAGCTGTTCCCATACATTTCATGGCAATAAGTCAGAGAAAATTACCCAAGGTTCAACTTTTTTTCAGTGTCTCTGTTTCATTTAAAGTAATGGAAATACTGTCCTCTCCATGAAACCTACTTACTGGTAGATGCCTATAGAACATGACTGCCTTTTATATCACTTAATTTTGTAATCTAACAGTGAATTCTCTCATCAAAAGTTCTGATATCTGAGTATGATCTCCAAAAACACTTCCACGCTGTTGCCACAGGGTATATTCTTGAAGAAGCCAGAATATTCTCACTTGCTTCTTAATTGAATCTCTTGGCAAGTATAGAAAGGATACCTTCTCAATGAGCTCAATGCAGGCAGCCAGGTCCATCCCAAAGTCAATGAATGTCCACTCAATTCCCTCCTTCTTGTACTCCTCCTGCTCCAGCACGAACATGTGGTGGTTGAAGAACTGTTGCAGTTTCTCATTGGTGAAGTTGATGCACAGCTGCTCAAAGCTGTTGAACTGCCAGATATAAAAAGACATACAATGCTTTCAAGGATCAGCAGTAATAGCAAGGTGTTTTCTTGTGCAATCCTAATTCACTAGGGGTCATACTATAAATACAAGTCATCTTCCTGTGTCATTTTCCTGTGCTGTATATCTAGGATAGGCTTTGTATTTAGAAAAGAGAGGTTTCAAATTCAGAGCAATTAGTTTTCAATCCTTTTTTTTTTCTTTCAGGATTAAGAACAATGATTCCAACAAGCCCTACAAATAAATGTAGTAACATACTCCCTTCTATTAAACATCTCAACATTTTCTATTGTTGTTCCATGGAAATGCTAAAAAACTTGTGTTACTTACATCGAAGATCTCAAAGCCAGCAATGTCCAGCACACCAATGAAGTACTGCCTGGGCTGCTTCGTGTCCAGCTGTTGGTTGATGCGAACAACCATCCACAGGAACATCTTCTCATAGACAGCCTTTGCCAGGGCACCCACTGAATTGTTCACCTAAAGCACAGAGAAAGGTTTGGAGGTTACTACACACAGCAGAGGAGAATCAACACCAGCCACCAAAGCATGTTCCAGATTATCCTGTTTTTCCTACCTGCTGCACCGTTTGGCCCTTGGTCACATATTCATTCCCCACCTTGACTCGGGGGTAGCAGAGGGCCTTGAGCAGGTCTGCTGAGTTTAGACCCATCAGGTAGGCAGACTTGTCAGCAACTGAACACCATGAAAGAGAGAAGAATAAATATTCAACAATTCCAAAAAATTGGTCCTTGATCAACTGTTCCAAAAGTGTTCTCTGTTATAGGGTTGCACAACAATATCTGTCAAAGCCATAAAACTAATTTCTCTCCTGTCTGTAGGATTCAGAGTCTGCAACTCTTTCTAAACTCAAGTTTCTACAACTGTTCTTCAAGAGAACTCATTGCTTTTATCCTTTTTCAGGTGTAACTATGGGACTTGACATGTACTTTCTAGTTGTATAGCAAGAGGATTCATCACTCAGAGAGCTCGAAGCACTAGCAGTCCTTTGTGCTGTGAGAGAGACTAATCAAGTACACATCTCACATCAGAGTTCACTCCAATAGGGGAGGGTAAAGAGGAGCATCTTCCTATGCTGGTAAGGCCAAACCATTTCACTACTACACACTATGGCAGAGATTGCAAGGTGTATTTCAACTTAGGTATGACTAACAATAGCATAGGAATTGACATCCATGGCTCAGGTTTCCTGGCAGTGTACACCAGGCCTCTTATCGATGAAGTAGTCACAGATAAAAAGTACAGGTACCATTAGATGAGATACATGTCTCAACTGTCATCTAGTCATGGAACAACTACTCTTCTTTCTAGTTTATACATTTGCATATTTAAAGCCTGAAATCTACCAAAGTCCTTCTTGTTACAAAGAATATCTCTTTTGGAAAGTTTGCTGACTCTGCTGATACCTTCAGTGCCATCAGGCTCTGCCTGCTCCTCACGCTGCTTCTGCTTGAACTTCAGGTTCCCATAGTGCATGACTGCCCCTGTCAGCTTGTAGATGGCTGTTTTCTCATCAGCACTGAAGCCCAGGATGTCAATGGCACTCTGGCAACAGAAAAATAAATGTGCATGTACCAGGGCACCAATCCACCAGATAACCTGTTTGATAAAGTTACTCACATCTGTTGCCATCAGCTCCTCCTGGTCGTCAATGCTGGGAACAGTGATCTCCCCTTGACTCACAAAGTGGAAATCATAAGGGTTGGTGGTGATGAGGAGCATGTCTGAAAGCAGGGAGAGGCAAGGCACAGGCTTAGTTTTGCCAAGCAAGTGATAGAGGGAACTGTTGCTCAGGGTTCCTCCTCAAAAAGCCATGAGGCTCCTTCCTACCAATTAGCTCTGGCTTCTTGTTGGACATGATCTGATAGAAGATGTGGTAGCTTCTTTCCGCCTTGAGCTGGAAAGTGACTCTGGACTTCTCCAGCAGAT